TACACCACACATCGTCCCGCAGGTGTCAGCACGAAACCCGCACCACTTTCGGAGGCCGCGAACTTTTTTTTTTTTTTTTTTTTTTTTTAACGGCAACGCATGCCGCCCCCCCCCCCCCCGCCAGTTTTGTTTGTGGCAACAAAATCCTTTCTGCAAGGCTGGGGCCGTGTCCTTGCGCGTTTTAAGGCGGGTATCCGATGCTTCCTTTCCAACTCTCTCTGTCTTTCCGGCGAAGTTTCTGCAAGCCGCTCACCAAGGAGGAGGAACCCCCCCCCCCCCCAAAACCCAAGTAAAGAAATGCACCCTAGCTATAAGATTGCCTGGACTATGGAACCTCTCTGCCTCAGAGATATTTAATGTCTCTTTCAACTTTAATGTCTCTTTAAAAAAATTCATCAACTTGAACGTACCCTGCAAAGTGTGATAGGTTACCCAAAACCGGCGAATCGGCTGGGAGAGTAAATGAATTGTAAATAATGAATGTGATGCCATGATTGCCCTTGCCCCTATGCTTGGTGTGCATCAAACAGACGGGCGTTGTCACACAGAAGACAGAATTAGTGGGGCCGTGTCCCAAGTGTCGGCCACTGGCCACTCTGTGCGACGTCTATATGGATTATCATGCACCCAACGGCTGTTATCTTCAGTCAGTTGTTAGGGTCTGAGACTGACTGCGATGCCCATGCCATAATTATGTCTGAAAATGTATGAATGTTTGCAATGTTGATTCTTCGTGATGTCAGCTATTATTGATGGAACACAGAGCCGTTGCACGTTTGTCTGGAGCATGTTGGTTTGCTGCATCTAGTAGGCGTACACACACTACCGGGAGCATGTCACCTGAATAGAACGCCTGGTAATTATCGCCGTATGTGGGCTGAAAGTTGTGCCAAATACAGCTATAATGACCAGGCGTTCTATTCGGGAGAAGACGGTAGGGCTTTACTGGATGTATGTGAGTGGAATTCCTCCTTGACCTGGGGCGTATCTGGCCGCAATTCCGACCAGGTGGAAGTTGACAAAGGCCTACCGTCGCTAAACCCGAAAACAAGGTATGTACCTTGTACACGGATGGAAGATACGGGGTACCATGCATTCGAATACAAGCTACCAACCTCGTAGATCGAATTTTAGGGTGCAATTTTCCTAAGGCAAGGTGAAAAAGGGAAAAAAAAAAAAAAAAGTTAAATATTAAATATTTAATATCAGTAATTGTATCACGAATAATGTGCGTCGACTGTATTCTATTCGTGATACAATTACTAATATTAAATATTAAATATTTAACTTTTTTTTTTTTCCCCTTTTTTTCTCGTAGATCGAATTTTAGGGTGCAATTTTCCTAAGGCAAGGTGAAAAAGGAAAAAAAAAAAAAAAAGTTAAATATTTAATATTTAATATTAGTAATTGTATCACGAATAGAATACAGTCGACCTCTATCAGGATGTGCGTCGACTGTATTCTATTCATGATACTATTACTAATATTAAATATTTAATATTTATTTATTTTTTTCCCCCTTTTTTTCTCGTAGATCGAATTTTAGGGTGCAATTTTCCTAAGGCAAGGTGAAAAAGGGAAAAAAAAAAAAAAAAGTTAAATATTAAATATTTAATATTAGTAATTGTGTCATGAATAGAATACAGTTGACCTCTACCAGGATGTGCGTCGACTGCTCCCACGACGAGGTTGCAGCCTGCAGTGTGAAGGTTTTTTTTTTTTTTTTTTTTTTTGAAAAAGAACACATTGATTCCACAGCGGCATGGAGTTCTTGAGCTCACGCAAAGTAGGTTTCAGAGCCTGGGTCGCTCTCCACTACGCTTGGCATACACAAATTGAGACTCAAGAGTGAATTTTCCGCTAGAACATGGAAAGGTGCACAGTTATGATTTTTGTCTTTTGTGGAAGTCGTAAGTAGATTACAGCAAAAAAAAAAAAAAAAGAAAAGCCAGAAATATCTCTGACAAGGCACATCTAGAATACAAGGTAATACGAGGTCTGTAGCTTGTATTTGAGGGTACACGTTCTATTTGAAAAATTAGCAGCAATTTCTCAGAACTCTGTTTTTTTTCTCAGGTAACTTGAATACAAGGTACGTACCTTGTTTTCGGGTGAAGAGTCTTAAGACGGTAGTCTCATCCCTGAGTATGCTCTTTTAGTGATGTCGGGCCACATATGAGCCTCGACATAGGTGATTTAAGAAAGCAATGCCGTGTGTTGGTGATCAAAACAGGAAGTGTGATGCGGTCACCACGATAAATCACTGCCCGCAAGGAAAATCCGACAGCCTTTGGTGATCAAAGCAGGAAGTGTGATGCGGTCACCACGATAAATCACTGCCCGCAAGGAAGTGTGATGCTGAGAGGAACAGGTTGGATAGGGTCGAAGTCGAAAAGCGGACAGAGCCGCAATAGAACGGGATAACTTAGGCAGGGGTGAACGGTGGTACCTCCCTCCTCCGGGAGGTAATCAATGCCGTCCTTCGGGCCTTTGCACCTTACGGGGGAGGAGCGTGAATGAGTTTTTCCTTGTACTCTCTTATGACTTGCCAGTGGAATAGGAACCGGACTGATGCTCCCCAGAATGGAAAAGGAGAGGTTCTGCTTTTATGAAAAAATAAAAAATAAAAAAAATTCAGCATCCTGAAACGCCAGCTTATCCCCTTTCACGGTGTTGCTAGAAGTCTAGCACACATTTAAACCACCCGTACATTTCCCAGCCATTTTGTTTTCAGAGGAGTTGTGCTGTGCATGCTGCCGCAACTTTCAGGATTTTCCGCGGCACCGTTTCGCTGGACATATCCATCCCTTGCATGCTGCCTGTTTTGCTTGCCAGGGACGAATTTCCAGCGAAACGGTGGCCCGGGAATTCCCGAAAGCTGCGGCAGCATGCACAGCGCAACTCCTCTGAAAACAAAATGGCTGGGAAACGTACGGGTGGGGTTTAAACCGTCAGTACACGGCCCAAGCGTTGCTGAAAAATATTTTATTTCGTAGCCTACTCGGAAAATTTCGCCCGGCGGGGAAACAAAATGGCTGGGAAACGTACGGGTAGGGTTTAACTGTCAGTACCGGACCACGACGGCTGGCAAGGTGAACCAGGAAATAAAAAAAGTGCGCCGCTGGCGGTTTGGCAAAGCTTGGCACATCACGCCCGGTTGTACTGGCGCGGCTTGAAGCCTGCGCCGGTATGTGTGCCGGGTCAGTGTGTTTGAGGAGGGGTCTTCGTTGATCGCACTCTTCATTTGAGAGGTGTGGGCTGATTGGCTTAGGCCTCTTCGGAGAGAGAGCAGGATGGTGTGTCCAGTACTCTCGTTTTCTGTGGGCTCTGCGTAGTCCTTGAAGCCCGTGGTTCGTGCTCTCCTGATGTTCTGAACGATTGCCTTGGATTTCGGCCTTGTGCGCTTGAGAAAGAAACTACACCGTGTTGTATGTCGTGTAGATATTTCCAGCGTCTGATGAGCTTTATCAGTGCATGATTAAGCAAGTGTCATATGCCACACTACTGCCGTCTACACCCTTCAACGGCTGTGCCCAAGGGTTTCTGCCATCGTCGAGTCCTTGAGCCATCAGTACACACCCGGGCCTGGAGGCACTCCGCTGCACGCGAAGCTTTGTTGCTGAACTGTCAGCGGCGCACTTCAAGTTGTTCTCTTTTTTGGCGGTAGGCCACCTGGGCCTGATGTGCCAAGCTTTGCCGAACCGCCAGAGGCGCGCACTTTTTTTATTTCCTGGTTGGCCTTGCCAGCCATTGTGGTCCGGTAGGCCCAAGGCGCAAAATATTTGGAGTAGGCAATGGAACTTTTTCAGCAAGCTGGGACCGTGTACTGGCGGTTTAAGGCACACTACTGTTTTGGAACCCAAATTGTCAAACCTAACATTTTCCGCTCCCGAACTTGTCAAACCAACCAGTGGTTGCCACACCAGTGCATTCGATGCCCGGTCTGTGTCTTGTCGGCGAGAAGTTTCGCAGCAAGGGCCAGCGCGGAGGCAGTTCTCTATCACACCACAGTGACCACACCCACCCACCTGCCAACAACATAACCAACAGGCTCCTTATCTTTAGAGAATACCTCTTCAGTCAAAGTGTCAAAGTTGACTGCCTCC